GAGGATAAAAAAGGGGGGGGGATGGCACTTTCAACCTCATACCCCTGTGTTAGTAGGAACAAATCTGTTTTATTTCTCCTTCAGTGAATAAAAGAACAAGTGATCATGAAATTTTAGTAAGTTACTGTGACAACTTTTCCCATTTAGGAACAAACCAGTTTCATTAAACAATCTGTATACACACGTTTTTTAAATGCACAAAATTGAGGTTGCCAACCCCGTACCGGTACTAATACTGAGGGTAATTTGCAATATTTACAACAACAAAAAAAGAAGTTTCATTCATATATCTAGATTTTAGATAATGTTTCACATGATCATCGGTAGTGGCAATCTGGAAATTAAATTTAATAAACGGGGGGTATGGAATAAGGAGCGGGAGGGGAGGGGGGAGAGGTTGGGCAAAAAAAACCACAACTAATAACTAATAAAAATTAAAATAAAATAAAAGCGGGAGGGGGGGGGGACCTTAGAGTACGCCAGCTGATGTCAGTACGGTATTAAAAATTTATTACACTCGTTATGGTGGCAGACCACGATTTATCCTACTTATGTGAAATTGCCAGTTATAATTACTCGTGATTACTACTTGGCAATTTCACTCATAGGATAAATCATAATCTACCACCACAACTCATGTAATAAATTACAGTGTATTTGTATTCTACGTAACCATTGACATCTAATTATATTTGGCAACGTGGAAACACATGTGTCACTTTTCCCATAAAACTACGACAGCTACTTAGCTACAGAGTTGAAAGTTGGCAAATACATGTACCTGTAAAAAGATAGATAGATCCCCATGACGGAGCCCGATTTTTTATTTATTCATTTCCTGAATTTAAACAAATATATTTGACATAAAGTTCTCGTCCTTCTATGGCATTTGTGATTATTCCATGGAGAACGAAACAAATCTGCGTAGCTGTCCTTCAGAACGGAATTGCCGGAAGTGATATTTCGCGAGGCGCATTTTGTTTTGAGAGTATAGATCTAGACATTCTAATTTTGTTTTCCATCTCTCAAGATGTATTGCTCCATTCTAGTAGAGTGTAAATATAGTAGGCCAATGACTTTCAGTTGACGTTAATGCACCGATCATTCCCTTCATCGAAAGGGGGTCCAGCTAATATAACATATTGTTTTGAATTGTCGGAGGCGGGGTACTTCTTCTCTAACAGCTATGTCCATTTTGGACTACGTTGAAAGACGGGAATACCAGATGGAATAAATTATAGGTCCAAATGTATCATTATCCCCTCTACAGACGAATCAAGCTCAAATCTTTAAGCCGACAAGGCGCAAAACCAAGCCATTACCATACAACTGAGGACCGAACGAGGGTCCAAAACATGTAAGGCTTAAAATCGACCCTTGTTTTAAAAGTATTATTATCCTTCTTGCCCTTATCATAGCTTGTTGGCGGAAAGGGTGGCTGGAATGTAGGCCTACTGTAACACAATACATTGAGGTGGTTCAGGCGCGAGGACACGCGGACGGAGCACAAGTGCGGCTGATCGCGACCGCCATAAAATTAAAGGCTACCAGGCAAGACCACAACCTTTAGACACGCAGCAAAACCGCGTGCACACCAAGGAGTTTAGAACTACTTTTAATCTCCTTGGTGCACACACTGTACGCTAGCCTAGTGCTAACTCAGGCGTGTGAAGAACGGGGGGAATTTTTCTCAAGAGGATATTATAATTATTTCATATCAGATCATGTGCAATCATTTCACTGAAACATACTGATTTGTAACCAATCTCCCCCCACCCCCCACCAGACCCCACACTCCCGCCCCCTTTCCGTTTTCCACACACAAACACACAGAGACACACATTATTATTTACCTGCTCAAAAACGCGCGCGCGCCCACACACGCACGCACACACACACGCACGCGCGCGCGCGCTTTCGGGACGAGGCATTGAAAATCAAAATAATGTATTTCCCTTGGATACAGCTAACTTCTCCGACACATGACTTCAACTAAACTTATAAAGTGTAGGGAGACAGATCAAGAATTATATGCGCATATCAAAATGCATTATATTCTTACCAATGACAGGCAGACGGACAGACAGCAAACTCGGATTTAAAAAAACCCATCACACCATACTCACATACTGTCTCATTGGTCTTCACAAGCAAAAGTCCGGGGTCTTTTTTTATTAGAGAAAAAAATAAAGGGGAAAAAATCACATCTGTTGCTATCAGCTACCCATGCCTTATAAATAAATAAATAAATA